GTATGTGCAACTGTGATTGTGTGTGTGTGTGTGTGTTACAAGAGAAAAGCCGCAATGTCTGGCAACGCTTAATTTGGTCAGTCTCCGGACCAGACGTCGCGACCAAGCAACGGCGAAGGGAGAAGAGATCCGGGATATGTGTCTAATACTTTCGAAATGAATAATATAATACCCTACCAGATGCTTACTCCATCTGTATATTGGCTGGCATCCAGTGAGAGGGTTCTTTTGGAGATCGAGAGATATAGAGATATATTTGAAATCTAGTATTCAATTAGTTGGACTGACCAACATGAAAGCTTCTAAGCACTTGGACACGTCCAGAATGCAGCATTTCATACTGCTACAAATTATTCTTATACCTCTCGTGTATACCTCTCTCCACTGGCATGTATCTACTCCTGTAACTCAATAGATTACTCCCTTCGCAGGAAAGACTGCCTCAGAGAATATTTTAAGCATCTTTCTTTGCTTCTCCTGCAGTTCAAGGCAGCGACTGAGAGCCAAGTCAGTCAGTCAGTCAGCCAGTCAGCCAGTCAGCCAGTCAGCTCCACCTACCGAGATTCGAGCGCCGGCGTCGTCGAGATGGCTGGCTTGCAGCACCTGCTGTCTCGGTAACAACTGCAAAAGCCGCAGCAGCAGCACTAAAATCAGCAACAACATCCACAATCTTTTGTGGCAGAGTCACGTTGGCTGCGCATGCGCGGGTGTTTTTCAGGTTGAGTCGAGTAAACTAAAGACTCATCTCCGGGAGCAGGGCAGGAGAAGAGGCAGCAGCAGCAGCAGCAGCAGGAGAAGCTGAAGAACAGCTAAAAAAAAGGCAGTTAAAATGCATTCAGTTGCAGTGCGTTGGTATTGGTAGCGAGAGTATCTGTGTGCGCGAGTGTGAAAGAGCCGGCAAGTGTCAATCCTATGGCGGCCGCTGCCCTCTTTTTACCTCTTGCCAACCAATAAAATTATACTAATTCCTGACTTTTTGATTTCATTTTCTGTTTGTGGAACGCTATGTATCTGTGTGGTTGCTAAGGATTTCGTTACCTAAACACACACGAACAGATACATACATACATATGTACATACATATGTATATGTATGTATGTATGTATATATACATGTGTATGCACATACAAACACCCGCAGAGTCATAGACACAAATACAGACACAGAGTCTTGAAAAGAAAACAACTCGACTCGTGGGCTCTCGCTCACTCCTGTGGCAGTGTTGAACGGCCCATGGCCCATGCGCGTTGCGAGCGATCTGGCTGCCTTTCTGGCTGGCAGCTTCAGACTCCAGCTTCACTTCAGGAATGCGCGATCGCGGCCGGGCGAGACAGTTCGGTTTCATACTTGGCTCATTGCGCTCGTGCAACACCCCGAAAAGAGTCAAGGTTCTTAAATGTGCCCCTCTCTACTGGTTTGACTCGGCAGGAAAACGGATTAGGGCTTTCGTAGTCCGTTTGTTACACCCTCTGGAAATTCAAAAGTAAGTAAGTAAGGATATTGGTCTAACACAATGACAGAGGAAACAGTAGCATTCAGATAGGCGTATTCAAACATTTTTATTTATTTACATTCTCTTACAAAGTTTAGGCATACATTTTCGAAAAATTCGTACGATATAATAAATATTCCTCTCATCCTAAAAAATATTTAAATTTTAAAGTTTGGTAAGAGATGAACATAAAAAATGTGTGTTCGTGCGTTCCAATGAATTTTCAAACACTTTCTTCGGTAAAACAGTTGCTTCATAAAGAAAGTTTTCTCAAATAATAGTTCACCGCTAAACATTTCAAAAAGTGATCCCTCAAAATTGCGGATAAATTCTTAAGAGAAAGCTAAGAATACTACTCAACGTTCTGGTATTACATTTCTTATAAGCCAACACCCTCAACGAATCAGAAAAAAGTAGGGAACGAAATTTGAGTGCGCTCAAATAATGATATTCGAGTAAAATGTACAAAATACTCGTATTTTACCTGATATTGTACATGACATTCGACATTATGTTCTTACACAGCATTCTACATTTCTACATCCTCCAATGCAATTCTGTATCGACCGCTACTATCTGTTAGATCTGTATCTGTATCATATATTCGACAGATTTTTATGTTCATTACTACTAAAACTAATTGCATCTGTGTAATGTCTATAATATGAGGCATCTTTTACTCGGACTTCTGTCTTAAAACTCCACTTTTATGTGGTAAATTGCGGCGAGCCATGCCATCGGTGGCTTGACGGTTTGTGTGCGGGTCGGCATGAGTGAGAATGTGAGTGGAGTGAAAGAGAGAGGCACAAGAAACGAAGAAGATTTTTGACGTCGCGCTGGCTGGCTGGGAAACTGAAAAGTGGCGCTAGACAAGGTGCGTGATCATGATCTTCTCCCCCGATAATGATCATCCCGATGAGGATGATGATGATGGGGAGGAGGAGGCAAAAACCAAAACTCTGAGAGGGCGCGCTCTCGTGTGGTGTCGAGTCTTAACGTCTGTCTCTCTCTGTCAAGTATTGCTCTCAAAGTGGAGCTGCCGAAGGCGAGAAACGAGCGGTGAGCAGAAAAATGCTCGAAAGCCGAACACGAGCGAAGAGCCGAAGAGGTTTCGCTCGGGTGTTACTGTATCTGTATCTGAGTATCTGAATCAGGTAGAGGTAGACAGAAAGGCGTTAGTCGTTCCACAGCGCTGATCGAGTTTAAAACTATTCCGCTGCACGGAGAGCATAGAGCGGAAGCCAAAGTAAAAACTTAACGTAACGAAACGAAAAACACATCCAAAAGCTTTCAGCGTTGGCCAAAGAAAATCGTACTACGGCGCGTCGAAACACAAACGATATAGAAAATTGGATGCAGAAACAAAGAAATCGATGAGTGTGCGGTGCCAAGTGGTGCGTGTGTGCGGTGTGTGTGGTGTGGTGTGGAATGGAATGCCAACCGACAAGTTGTAAAGGGAAACCCTGAAATCCGAACAGCCGCCAGCCAGCGGCAAACAAAACTGTGAATACGAAACAAATACACGCAGCAGATACTGCCAAAGAGATACAGATACATCTCTTGTCTCTCGGGTGTGAAGTGCGCTACGAAAAAAAAACAGCAAGAAACAGCAGAAACAACAATAAATCTGCATAAACAATTGAGGCGGCTCTCCTTGGAAATAATGTGGATTACAGCCACAACACGGCCCCGCTGCCGCGGCGATTGCTCGGACAAATGGCAAACGGGAAGAAAGTAACTGAATCCGAATGACAAGTGTATCTGCCAGATACTCACTGGGCAGAGTGTCATGTGCCGCGGCATTCCGATCACAGCAACAACACGAAGCACAATCGCCCTGCGCCTGGAATGCGGCAATACAATTTTCAACAAGAACTTGATCTACTTCATCTACAATTATCGCAAGCGAAAAACCAAACGGAGATACAGTAGCCCAAACACGCACGCCACAGAAACAGAAACAGATACACAATTACAGGTACAGGTGAAGATACAGATACAGATACAGCGCGAGGCGAGGCGAGTGAGAAGTCCCTATCAGATATTTACACAAACGTGATTTATTTGAAAAGCGAAACGAGAGGCACAACAACAGTACTAGCAGTGAACGGAAGCCTCAAGTGCCATAAACATCTGTAAATTGTGCAAATATATCGGAGTGTAACCAAAAGCCGCACGGCGCGATAACGCACTCGCACTCGCAGTCGCCGTCGCCGTCGCAGACGTTATAAATTCAGTGGAACGAAAGGTGTCAGCCCAGGCAGGCCCGGCGACCACGACAAGACCCCGACCGACGAGACAGTTGGTCGCTTTTATTTTGCTTACTTTTCGGGCAATCCATCAATATCTCTCTATATACAAACGGCGCTCAAATTAACGACTAAACACATGTCGTATAAATACCCATACATACGGGCCCACAAAGATCTAATACCAGGCGATATCATTCAACCATAGGAAACTTTATAAGACTGAGGTGAGTGCCGTACCAGAGCTCAGAGGGTTTTTCTTCTCGATATGCATTATTTCCTCCCTCTTTTCCTAACCTAACCCCTCGACGGGGCCTAAGCTTATGTAAATGTGTCCAAAAAAAAATATACATACATATAAGTGAATATCTGAACTGGGACGAGCTGTGAGAACCACTCACAAAACTGAACCATTGCATAACCAGAGTGGCATTCGATACGGAAAATTTGATATTGGTTGGGGAATGTTTTGGGGGAATGCTTTGTGGATGGCATGTGGCTTCCAGGGAGAGTGAATATCGTTTCAAGTTGTTCTCTGACTGCAAAGCTGGAGAATTGTTATTTTTTATTGGAGATTCTAGAATTGTTGAACGACAGTTGAATTATTAGAACTATACAGTACATTTACATACAAACTAGAACCAAAATAATAGTTGCTTTAGATCTGGTAATTTCCTAACTAAACTACATATCCCAATATATATTTGTTGAACCATCACCATCCTTACAGAGGAGGCGTGAGTCTCGCACTTCTCCCAATATTGACTCGCTTGCAACCAACCGCTACGCATTTTCCACCAGACTTAATCAAAACATTTCTCCACGTACATTATTATTTAATTTTGGACTATCTAGTCTTCCGAGAATTCGCTTGACCTTTGTTGGCCCGCACAATAAAGTACCGTTCTGAAACAAAACTAATAATTTTTGAAGATGAGACCCTCTTAAAAGGTGGAGAATAAAAAGAGATGGTCACATAAAAAGCGGCGGTAAAGACAAAACAAAAACGTCAATATCCTGGGGACATAAATTTTCCAAACAAAATATAGATTTGGATGTATGTATGTATGTAGTTTGTTTCTATTGTATCTGTGTCTTTGGCCCATCGAGGGTTTCGTCTACGTTTGCGTTTATTATTAACCAATCTAATTGCTGACGTTGTGCGGCACTGATACAAATGTTTCTGTAATTGTGTGTGTGATGGATGATATTGGGTAACCGGAATGAAACGTTAATAAAAAATGTGTCAATTTGCGAAACATTTCGAAGTTTTTATTTTGTTATTTTTAGTCTTTGAAATTTGAACTTTAGCATGGGCTTGCGACATTTCACAGTTCGAATAGAGGCAAGTCCGCGTTATAACTTATTGAATGGACGGCGAGCTTGAAAATCCCAGAAATCCCCCGGTGGGCAGGTAGAGGCGCTATGTGGGAAATCTGTGAAAATAAAAAGTGAATATAGGAGAACATCAAACTGAAACTGAAACCACAAGCTAACCACAGAACCTGGAGAATTCTGGGAACGTATTAAAGACAAACAACAAATTATGAACAAATCATAAACATATTTATGAAATTCACCCATTTCATTCACCCTTCCCCCGCTCCACTCCACACCGATCCGCACAGCTCTCTCTCCTCTCGTAAGATTTCCCAATTTTCAATCCGTCTTATCAGAGCTGGAAGATCTTTTTCAGCCCTCACCGCCGGCTGAGGACTGGAGGCCTCTACACTGTGCTCTCTGGGACAGCACCCCCCAGCGTGTGCCATCTTCCATTCTCTTCCCAATTTAACAATTTTCGAAAATTCCTTTTGCGCCCAAGCGCCCTGTCATATAACAAATTTTTTAGTACAAGATAAGATGCGTATCTTTATGTGAAGAACAACATGTAATTTGTTCTAGGTGTGTGTGCCTGTACCTTTTGGGCGCATCTTGAGATAAAATCTTGAAAATTTATTGCCTATAACCAAAATATATAGAATACTTCTAATAATTTTCATAAATTTTCCAGATAAGTGGGTTTTTAGTTTTGATTCTCTGTGAATAGCCGCCTGTTTATAAATCAAGGCAAAGCGATAAGAACGTGGATTGAAACCTCTCTAATAACCAAAAACTTGCATCGAACCCCACATGGGATTGACCAGGGGGCCGCCTGCAAGGGGGCTGGCTGAGGAAGGGGCTGTATGGGACTATATTGAATTTCTAAGCGTAGACATAAAACGGGGCACAGCGAATGCTTTTGGTATGCCGATATGGCCCAGAAGATCGCGTGTCAGCCCGAAAGGTGCAATGTCCGCCCGGATTGCAACACTTGCATATGGGATGGATGGGGGGGATGGATGGATGTGAGTGTTTTAGAGAGTGCAGCAGACACAGACACACAGAGAGAGAGAGAGAGAGGAGAGAAGAGCCAGTGCCAGCCATTTTTTAGTTGCACCTTTCACCCTTGTGGGCCATAAAAGTTTTGAGGCAGGGCAGATCAGAGCTGAGCAGGCGCTTCTTGAAATGTGCCAAGAAGAGTGTCCGAGTTCCAAAGGAAGTGGCTGCGACGGCAAGTCGCAGTCGGCGTCTCCCACGCAGCGACGTCGCCCGCAGCAGCGCTGCCCTTACCTGTGGTACCTGCCGAAAGAGCCCGATCGTGTGCCGCTCAGTCGAGCATCGCACGTCGTCGGGCACACACAGACACACACACACACACACACACAGGCAAGCAGAGTGAGCGAAAGAGTTGGGCCTGGGCTGTATAGTCGTCTCGCTTCAGCTGATTGCTGCACTCAAACGCTTGAGTGAAAGAGCGGAGGACTGATCGATCCGAAGAGTAACCCTTTTCGACAAATGCTAAACCATTTCTCCCATGTTTTTGTATCGTTCCAGAGTTGCAAGCGACCATGCGCGCATGGATTCTACTCCTCGCAGTGCTGGCGACTTTTCAACCGATCGTTCAAGTTGCTAGCACCGAGGATACGAGTATATCCCAGAGATTCATCGCAGCCATAGCGCCTAACCGCATTGAGCCATCAGCAGCAGCAGCAGCTGTGGCAGTCACAGCAACGGCAACAGCAACAACAGCATTAGCAAAAGCATTTAATCCCTTTAACGAATTGCTCTACAAAAGCAGTGATAGTGATAGTGATAAAAACCATCTAAATAACAACCTAAATAAAGGCCCGAGGTATAGCAAAAACAAGGGCAATAGACATAGCAAAAGTGACGCGAATCGACAGTTCAACGAAGTGCATAAACCAAGAACAGACCAATTAGAAAATTCCAAAAATAAACCTAAACAATTAGTTAATAAATCCAACAAAATGGCTGTCAAGGATCAGAAACATCATCAGCAGCAACAGCAACAGCAGCAGCAACAGCAGCAGCAACATCACAAGCCAGCGACTGCTCCAACATCCACAGAATCTCATCAATCCCCGATTGAAACAATCTTCGTCGATGATCCCGCCCTGGCCCTGGAGGAGGAAGTGGCCTCCATCAATGTCCCCGCCAACGCAGGGGCCATCATCGAGGAGCTGGAGCCGTCGACCTATAGCAAAAAAGAACTCATTAAAGATAAACTGAAACCAGATCCCTCAACTCTAGTCGAGATCGAGAATAGCCTTCTGTCGCTATTCAATATGAAGCGGCCGCCCAAGATCGATCGCTCCAAGATCATCATCCCCGAGGCCATGAAGAAGCTCTACGCCGAGATCATGGGCCACGAACTGGACTCGGTGAACATACCCAGGCCAGGACTGCTGACCAAATCAGCGAACACCGTGAGGAGTTTTACACACAAAGGTGAGTTTACCCAAAACCAAATTTCGATCGTATATATCTTTATTTATATTGTATTTAAATCGAGGGCTATTTTATTGTTTTTAATATTTTTAGAAGGATCACAGCATTATTATATCAGTACAATATGAAGTTTTATAATAAAAATAGTGTGAATGACAAAGTATTCGAACTTTTCGAAATGCTTTCATGGCACTATGGGAAGAGTTAATAATTGTACACCAATTCTAAGCTGGCTTCCCACAGGCCGTTAAGTTTTAGACCTTGAGTCAGTGTGATTCCCATTCTTCATTTCTTAATTTCAATTCAGTAGTATTATCATTACACATGGATAGCTGACCGATTTTTAATGAATATTTATTTGATTATGTAATTATTTTCTCAAGTTTATCATTTGTCTCATTTGTCTCAAATTTGCAGCCACATTTAGGGCATCAATTTACACTCCTGTTGTTTATTGTTTATTGTTGTTATTTCCACTCAAAAGTGATAATCTATAAATTAAGCTTTGTGGAACGACAGCATTAATTGTAGTGTAACTAACAGTTTCAATTTAATTGAACATTTTTTTAATGAAAATGTACCATTTTCATGTACGGAAATCCTTATAGTTTATGCAAGAGATTACCAGAGAGATATTTCACCTGCTCTCTGTCCGGCACATGTGCCATGGAAAAGGATTCAATCTATCTTGTGGACTGATAGATTTCCCTCGTTCTCACTCATGGGAAACGCGTACTTTCCACTACTAAAATGCGAATGAAGAGCGAGTGTGGACTTTCCCTGAAATACTGTTTCATCTAAACGATTTGCATACCTGCTCGGGTGCATCATTCACGCAAGCGTGAAAACTGTGGAATCACGCGGAAATTCCGCAGCTTTTCAAAATGAACAGAGCGCAGGAGAGGGTCGCAGGCGAAGAGGACAGTGCGTCCTTTTACCTGCAGTGCCATTATCCGTGCCCAAAAGTGACCTTGAAAATTTTCGACGGAATTACACCCGGAATGTTTAGCGCATGCGCTAAATGGCTTTTATATTGTATTTGTAGAAATAACAATTATTATTAAAACGTATTTCGCATTATTTTCCGCAGGATTAGAGGAACGAACAATAAAGCAGTTAGAGTAAGGCAGGTTAGGCCGGGGTGTCGAGTCCTGAGTCCATCATAGAGGACATACATATGTACATACAAGTAACAGGTAACCAAACCAATCCAGTCCGATCCAATCCAAGCCAAACCAGCATGGCAAAGTGTCTGAGGCAAAGTGTCTAAGCCTCAGTTTGGTTTGTCTTGGCAACGCTTCAGTTTTGGTTACGGATTCGGATGCGGTGTCCGCAAATGCAACTGCAACTGCAACATCATCTGTATCTGTGTAGGGGTTCGTCTCTTGATTCTCAAAAGAATTTACGACTCTTTTCCCTTTGTATTGTTTGTGTGTACTCGAGTGGTAAGATGGCAGCGGCAGCGGCATCGATTCAAATTAAGATTTTTCAGCAAGCGTGCAGAGTTTGCACCTTGCCGGATCCTCAAAGGCAGGCCAGGGTGGGCTAGAGTCTTTAGCACAGGCGCCAGCAGTAAAAAGGCGGCTGGGCAACTGGAACGTGCGATTTTCGACCTGTTTTTACATTTTCTCTGAGGAAACTGCCCTGCATGCACCTTCCACTCAAGTAGTGGGAGTATTTAAGCGGGGGTACTTATAAGTACAGGTAGAAACCAGGAGAACATGCTCGAATGTCTGTCCGATCATCTGCCGCGGTACGCAAATTCAGCCAGTTTTTATGTCCCCACTGACCGAGGACATTTCAGCTGATCTAGTGGACTATCCTATTTGATTCCCTGATCTCCGCCCTTATATCGACACCCCTTTTTTTCTGATCCGGATATCGAAATCTCTCTTGCACTGTGATCCCATGTCCTTTTGAACCTCTGCTCTTCTCTGATTCTTACTCAAATCGAAACTGTCTTTTTTTCTTGTTAATTGCAGATAGTAAAATCGACGATAGATTCCCTCATCATCATCGGTTTCGGTTGCACTTCGACGTGAAGAGCATACCCGCAGAAGAGAAGCTGAAGGCTGCCGAGCTGCAGCTGACCCGGGACGCGCTTGCGCAGGCGGCAGTGACTTCCACGTCGGCGAACCGGACACGGTACCAAGTGCTCGTCTACGACATTACCAGGGTGGGCGTCCGGGGACAGCGCGAACCGAGCTATCTTCTGCTCGACACGAAGACAGTGCGTCTCAACAGCACCGACACGGTGAGCATGGACGTGCAACCTGCCGTGGATCGGTGGCTGGCTACACCGCAAAAGAACTACGGCCTGCTAGTGGAGGTGCGGACGATGCGCTCTCTAAAGCCGGCGCCGCACCATCATGTTCGTTTGCGCCGCAGCGCGGACGAGGCGCATGATCAGTGGCAGCACAAGCAGCCGCTGCTATTCGCCTACACGGACGATGGGCGGCACAAGGCGCGCTCGATACGGGATGTGAGTGGGGGCGGTGGTGGTGGAGAGGGTGCAAAGGGCAACGGAGGTGGCAGAAATCGACGGCACCAACGGAGGCCAGCAAGGCGCAAGAACCACGAGGAGACGTGCCGCCGGCACTCTCTCTATGTGGACTTTGCAGACGTGGGCTGGGACGATTGGATTGTGGCGCCACCGGGATACGATGCGTACTACTGCCATGGAAAGTGCCCATTCCCGCTGGCCGATCACTTCAACTCCACGAACCACGCGGTGGTGCAAACCTTAGTCAATAATCTCAATCCAGGGAAGGTACCAAAGGCCTGCTGCGTGCCCACGCAGCTGGACAGCGTCGCCATGCTCTATCTCAATGACCAAAGTACAGTTGTGCTCAAGAACTATCAGGAGATGACAGTGGTGGGCTGTGGCTGTCGATAGATTCGATCGAGCCACTGTATACAGAGCCGAGTGTAAAAAGAGAGACCAATCGAACGAATCGAGTGGATCGAATTGATCGAATCGATCGATTGTCGATTGTCGAGAGTCGAGAGAGATCGTGAGCGAGAGAGCATAAAATGCTGTTTGGTTCCAAGCCGTCAATGCTTTAAACACAACGCAAACAAAATGGACTGAATATTTGAATTTTAAGTGTAAATCGTTAGACTTTAATTGTACTAGTATATATGGATGCAGCCTCGACCTACGACCCACGCCCCACGCCCCAAGCCCCAAGCCCTGTCGAACCACCTTGAGGTGAGCCTCTGTCAGTTTCCACAGCTAGGCTTTGGAAAACCCTTGAT